ATAACAATTTAAAATTGAAATTGAATTTATGATAAAAAAATTGATATTGAAAAGGATATTATAATGAGATTAATTATGAATTTAAATTAAACTTTGATAATAAAAAAGATAATCATTACTAAAGATTGAATTTAGAGTCGATAAGATAACAATTTGAAATCTAAATTGAAAATAAATTTGATGAGATAGCAAATTGAAATTGAATTTAGAAGAGAAAATTTTGAAATTGAATAAAAGATATTATAATGAGATTAATTGAAAATTTAATTTAAAATTTTGATAGGGTAAATTTTGAATCTCCGATAAATAATATAATTAAAAAAACTTTCTATTATAAGATTCAAATTAGATTTAAGTAGAATTTTAAATTTGGTTTATTCTGAAACTAAATTTGAAAGGAGATATTAAAATTCCTTGGTGGATGGAAGAGCTATTCGGATAATAAAAAAATTTCAATCCCCTTTCAGTCTTTAAACCTTAATGCATTTGGGACCTTAATACCAATACAATTTAATTAGTAGATGTGATGATACTCCTCAAATTCCGCTGGTATCTGGTGGTGGCACTCTGGGTGCCAAATGCTGTGTTTCCATTGAATTTGAATATATGATTTTTTTGGTCATCAATTATTTTTTCATTTTAAAGAATAGAATAAAATAATATCATAAATGTATTCACTTTCACCCAAAATAATATGATTTAAAAATTTTTTTTCCTCAATATTAGTTTTTGTTTATATTATCCTTAAAAATAAAAATGAATGAAGATAAAAGTATTTTTTAAGTATAGTAAACAATTATTATTTTGATTACTGTGTAATTTGTTCCAAATTAACTAATATTTTCTAAATTCTAAGATGCATTAATATTTTTTTTTCTCATTTGACCATTTTATTCTGACTCATATATATGGTCTCTTTTCATTTCTCTATAATTACTCCTTGTAATATTTTTATATTTTATATGAATAGTAAAAATAAAAGATCTTAAATTTGATTTATAGACATGTGAGTAGGCAAATAGAAGAATAGAAAGAGGTTGTTTTATACTATACAATCCAAAATAAAAAATAATCACAATGTTAAAATAAGCATGCAGCTTTTATATTGATTCATATTTTTTGTTGAAGTTTATGTTGATTCATTTAAATTTAAATAGACATAATCAAGTTACGTATCGGCCGTAATAGTTTAAGAAATTAAATAGATTTTTAATTTATATTTGAAAAATATGTAGAAAAAAAGCATGCAAAAAAAATTTAATGAATTATTTTTTTGGAAAAAAAATTGAAGTGTTACTTATCTAATAAAACTGTCAAAATAGAAAAAATAAATTAACGAATTATAGCTAGAAGAGAGTAAAACAAATGGTTAAAAATTAAAGCCGGTAAAA